CTAACCGAGTGACCAGCAAACTGGCCATCGGATGAAGCTGCACTGGTCAAAGCAACTGAAGAGGTCACTAGCTGCATAATTGGAAAACTATCTTATGAATTACAACTGATCAATTTACCAGGATGGCATAAGTTAGCTGTAAAAGCACTATATGGTTTTCTTTATTTATTCATAAAAACCATAAACTTTCAAGTTCATATTCAACCAAAGAAGCCACCAAATCCGCAGCAGCCCAAGCCCATGCCCAAACCTCCTAATCCGGGACCAAATCCGCCATACATACCGTAGCCACCGAACATTCCATAACCGCCATAGCCATATCCGTAACCTGTCAATTAAAAATTGATTTATCAATTAAAAACTGATTAATTACAATGGTAAACGAAAAGTAACATGTAAAATTTACACAGAAAAATTCTTTCAAATCCAGAATTCTGTATTATTCTTAAGGATTCAGTAACAATTCCGGGTTTTCCAGATTGTTTTGTCCGGCATTTCTCTTCCTACCTGGTTCTCATGTGCTTAGCTCTGCCTTAACAAAATTTTTACTTTCTCAGTTATCGGGTTGATTACTTTGGTAGTTACATTTCGTGGCGTAATTTTCCAGTTTTATAATTGCCGACTTTTCCAGCTGCATTTTCCAGTGCTGCATCGCTTAGCGGGGTCAGTTTGCTTGCGATTCGGCAGATAGATTTTTGGAGGTCAATTTTGCACATTTACTCAATTCAACAAGGAGGAAAATTTGTTGCCATAAGAAGTCGACAAGGACGTCATCACCACTAATCTGTCCGGGGAAATTTCTAGAGAGAAAGTCCAGCTGAATGACTTCAAAATTTTCAGGATTAGTTAAGATCGAAAGTCAAAATTCGTTTCATATTCACGCTCTGTGAGAATCTAAGGCGCTTTGAAATCGCTCGAGTAGTAGCGTGTATCAACACCAACAGTTCACTAATACTGCTTTCAAATAATTCCATAGGTAATAATTCCAGAAAATGTAAGCTAGGAACATGTGTCGATACTCAGTATGTACTGACGAGGTCCAGCAGTGGTACCGATTTAGAATTTGTGCGATTTAATGGACCAAATCGCTCCATTTCAAGGTTCCTTTTTCTATTTTTATTGCATTTGTTACTATTATTTTTTTTATTTATTACTATAATTCGTTAGATTAGTTGTAATATTTAGAATGTTTAAGCTGATTATCATGAATTATCATAATCTAGTGTGTTATGTAGGGGAAGGCGAACAATGCGCCTTTGTTTTATGATTTTTTAAGCCTGTTTTTTCTTTTTTTAGTAAAGTTGAAGCAATCATTTCTAAACAAGAGAATGATAATCTGTGATCAGTAACTTATATACTATTAATGAGTAGTGGTGCGGAAAAAACAAGTCTTTTTTGAACAATGTGGTACTCTTTAAAAGCTTTCCTCAAAACAAAAATTGCCATGATGTTTCGCTGCATAACATTGTTGGTAGGACAAAACATTTCTTACTTAAAATAATCGTTTTGATATATTTCTAAAAGAAAACCATCGATATTCCTACCAGTGCCGTTGTAATAATATTATGCTTCAGCCTTGTTGAATGAAATATAAAGGTATTGCTGCGAACGAAGAGCGTAAACTAAGCTTAATCGCAATATACCCAGCTTCTTAGAATAACATGAAAAGTGTGAATTTTATCCCCTTCCTACCTTTTAAAAAATATAATCCATTTTTTTAAAAGCTTATTTCATTTAACTGAATTCTTTTAATAACACCACATCCGTCTCAAATTGATGAGACTCAGTTGTCGTGCTGAATAGGAATGTATACGACTTAATGAACCAAAACGTTTCTGTTCATCTGAATCTTTAATATGATTTTATATTTCTCTATGTGTAATAATTACATCTCTATTTGATTTTTAACTCGAGTAACTTTCGATTACCATTGACATGTTCGTAACACTGGCTGCCTCCATCAATTCTTTCTCCCCTCCCGCCTACCCTCGTAAGTCAATTGATCAGGTTTTGTGCTTTAACTTGTGAGTTCCACTGAGTGATATTTATGGGAACGAAAACGAAACTTTCAGATTCTCAGAAAAAGATAGCCGAATTTCCAGTTGATATGTCTGATAATAGCTTTTCCTAAACAGAAACATAGCTTATCGGTGTGCTGTGTACGCTTTTACCTTTCCAGAGGGACATGGAAATTAGTTAATTACATATCGAAATAATAAAGAGGAGTATGGAAATTAAAAATTTTTCATTCATAAGAATGTTACATTCGCCCGAATGACTTTTCCAATAACTTTTAGTTTTCAAAAAAAAGTCTGGAAAAAATTCTCAAATCCGGAAGGAGAAGTGCGCATCAATTTCCTACAACTACTTCCGCGTTCTAGACTTTTTTATTAATTGACTTTTGATCTCCAGGGACGCATCACAGACTGAATAGAGACGAGACGGAAAGTTCATATGCTTCAAACTTTTGAATGAGCAATATCACTCAATTTTGTTATTCATTCCGAAACTTAATTTGTCTCTCACGAGTTGTTCTCGAAGGCCTTTGTCTGATAATAATTTAATTATTATCAGCAGCAATTATACGATACTAACAAAACTGTCGATGGTTCCTTTTTCCAAAAATCCTTTTAGAAACAGAATGAAGATCAACTGGGCCTTAAAATGTGTTTGGAAGACGTAGCCGAGTAGTGAGGAGTGTTTGCAAGACCTATTTTCACACAATTGACAGACCGGCTATCCTTTGATAAATTGATTAGCTACAGCCCCACAGCGTCGTTCTCCATCTATGCAACTGGTAACTTTTTTACTTGCTCTGACCAATGCTACATCGTATGATGATCAGCCTACTGACGATCCTGGTGTTTTTTTATCTTCTGAAGTAATTACTAGATTAACGGTCTTCCTGAGAGAATAATTAATGCCAAGAATATTAGTATCGTCCGGGCTGTCTCTTGGGTATCCAGCGTTAGTGATGTTACTGGGATGTTTCCTAAATGCCGAGTAGAAGAATAGCCATTAGGCGATGCAGCATTGGTTAAAGCAAGCGGAAAAGTTGCTAGTTGCAGCTATTGCCAGTTCCTTCGATTCTGGACTGCATACCTCCAGTTGATACCTCACATCTTACTTATTTGCGCCACTTTTTTGGGAAACGCCCAAATGATCGCCCGCTTTCTCGCAAGTACCACTCACTAATACCGGATATCTACTGGCTGTAAGCAAGGCGAGCAACATACCCCAAAGAATTAATATTTCATTTAAATACGTTTCGCTGCCCCAGGAAAAAACATTTAAAGAGAAACGAAACGCACCACATCCAAGCATTCCCATACCACATGGACCAAAGAATTGTCCTTTAGTAGCGGACAGCAAAGCCAGAAAAACCGTACAAAATACCGCCGTTCGCACTGTCCGCATAAT